TGTATTTCATGGCACACTGCTGTACATGTACTTTCGACCCAGCTCGAATTATTCCATGGACACGGACAAAATTACCTCTGTCTTCTACACAGTTGTCATCCCTATGTTAAACCCACTCATCTACAGCTTAAGGAATAAGGATGTGAAGGGTGCCCTGAAAAAAGCAATCAGAACTAAAGTGTGTCCTGGGTAAAGCCATGACATCTTGTCCAGAATTATTTATTCAAATATTCTGAAAGCTAAAGTATAATTCTTTTGGCATATCTTCCAGCCAAATCACTGATACAACTTTCTAGATATTTTCCATACTTCTCATATGTCTACCATGATTTTATACTATCATGTGCATAGGTAACAGTCATTATTGATCTCAGTCCTCTCTCAAAACTAAGAAGGGTCATAGCAGATTTTCTGTTTCTTGCAGAGAGGATCTTTTATAGTTCCCTTCTGTCTTCCTGTATATGTCCCAGCAAGATATCAAGGGTGAGTATTTCTTAGTTCAGTGTCAATGAAATGTAACCTCCATAAGATTCCATTTTATTTTTAGGAAAAAAAAATGGTTTTAATCAACTTACTAAGAAGGTAGTACAGTTACATAAATTAAGGTTGCATGTATTTCCCTATGCCCTAATAGCACCTTGTAAATGCTCCATCACATCCTTAAAAATATGATATTGAATAAATAAAATAAATAAGATGTCTCCTTCTTTAACTCAAAGTTCCATAAATGCAAGCCCCAAGTTATCTTCTTCACCAATATTTCTATTTTTTTTTATTTACAATGCTTGGCTCTAGAATGCCATTCAAAACATTTATTGAATAAAAGATTGCATGCCCCCTGAAAAATAGATGCAAAGACAATTTTTATAAATAAATATAGATCCCTTGATTTGATTTGGTTTGATTCTAGTATGTTCGTCTTAGATGAAATCCATTTGTGCTTTTTTGTTTTGACCCGTGCTAATAAACATGAGGGAGGGAGATCATTTGACATTAAAAACTTTTCATTATTTCTCATCATTCTGTCCCACTTATATCAGCAGAAACTTTGTTCATCATTCTGTCAATTTACCTACTTGCCTTTGATGGAGGTTAAGAGTAGAAAAGTTGGAAAGGAAGCACCATGAGATCAGAAACCCAGTTCAGGCACTGTGGAGACCTGGAGGTGGGGGTAGAAGTGATTAACATAGTCATTAATCCAGCTATAGAACTGAAAACTCCTTAGGCACCAAAGTCTAAATCATGAGGCACAGACCCAAGCAGGTGTCAGACTGCTGTAGAGAGTGTCATGGGGTGCAGACTAGGAGGTGGGGATATGGAGATAGAGGGGCATTGTAGAATCTCCAGTCCTTTTCAAAGTCTACATAGTTATTCAAAATCAACAAAAATTAACCACTTCACAAAGGAATGAGCCCCTCCCTAGAAGTCAGGACAATTTCCACACTGGCAAGGGGCAGTGGCCTTCTGCCTGCTTGTGCCTATGCAGGAGCTCCTTACCACTAACTCTCCATCCTCAGGGCAGCAGTCTCCTGCCCACCTGTGACCTGTGAACAAGCAGGTGCTTCTCTTCACTGACCTCCCTCAGAATAGGCACCTCCTTCCAAGACAGCCCACCTATGATTATTCAGCCTCTCTTTTAGCAAACCTGTGCCTTTCTGGGTAGTTCTTTCTGCCCACTTGTGCTTGTGCAAACATTCTTTATCCCTTCCCTCTCTTTAATAATGAACCTGTACGTATGGCTATAACTAACGCCTCTGCTGTTTGAGAAATTTGCCGATGAAACTCCCAGTTCTGGTGAAACTTTTCTCAGTTAACCCAAGGATCCCACTGTCTGAAACCAACATATCCTAAAAATTACTTCACCTTCACCGCAGAAAACAGATATGGTGCTATCGAAAACTGTACTGAAATTGCATGACAGGGCATTGGGGGTAAGCAACTGGATCTTTGCTAAAGACCACTGGGAAAGAGAATTTCTTTTCCTTTGAGGTGTCCATGACATTATACATATTAAAATTAAAATTTTAAAAATAAGAAATCCCTAATGCATATAGTTGAATTTGTAAAAGTAGAGTTATTAGCAAAATTATACATTCAGTGGAAGAAGCATAGAGCAAAGTAATATTTGCATCAGTGTCCATTTGTAATGTTTTATTTGGGCTCTGTGTATCTAAGAAACAAACTGGAACCTTATTCCAAAGAAAATTTTAATAGTGGTCATCACTGAGTATCTGGATTTAGGTAATTTAAAATGTATGCTAATAACATAATTAATTAATGAATATGCTGCCCTTCACTTTAATCAATGGACTATGAATCCAGTTATGAAAAACAAACTTATTTTCTTAGGGGTACTGATTTCACTTATTTTATTTTTAAGAAGGGAACATGGAGTCTTCTGGTTCCAAAAAAGTTATGGGTTTTACAAGATTTCTCATTAAGGTCTTCATTCAGAAGCTATATATCTCATTAGTGTATAAAGGGCAGGTTATGCTGTTTTCGCCCAATGTTGGCCATCAGAGTCAATGTTGTGACTCCATCAATTCTTGGTGTTCTTGTTGTGCCCAGCATCGACTAGTGCAGCCCCCAAGGACACACAGACAGCCGCAGCAAGAACATAAAGGAGTTTATTACGGGCTCGAGTCCAGGCCCACAACACGCACCCATGTAACGGCGGCGGGGGTGGGGAGCTATGAACAAAGGGAAAAGGGATCTTATATAGGGTTACAAGCAGATCTCTAAAAATTAAATCACGTTGGCAAACATTCATTGGTTACACAGGGACATTTCCTAACAATGGTGGGTGCACAGTTTCAGTTTTTGAGCTGATTGGTCACATCAAGATGCAGCTCTATTTTATGGCTAGTTTGACCCTATTAGTCAAACTATTGCTCGGCTCCACTGTGGCTAGCCGACTGAGATAAGACCAGAGTGGGGTGGGGGTCGAACTCTGGAATGCAGTCTTTTCTTGGGACAGCAAGACCTAAAATTCTAAAATGGCAGTTACACACAAAATGACATAGCAATGGGGCTAAGAATACTTATGCTTGGCTCCACAGTTCTCATTATGTTAATGTGCAGGCTTGGGGATACCTCAAGAGCCCCAAATTTGCATGCTCTATCTGCCACCCCCCACATAAAAACAGCATACTCTGAGTGAGAAAGAATTTTAATAGGATTAATGTGCCTAGAAAGATAATAAAAGATAATAGTTTTCCAATAAAACACCCAAATTTACTCATTCCTTATGGGTAAATGATGAACCAAACAGGGTTGCCACAAAATAGAGACCTTGCGATGTGAGAACTTGCCACAAATCTAAGGCACCTTCTAGCGGGGAACCATAAGGAAGGGGTAGAAGGGACCAGGCAAGTCTGGAACAAAAGGAGAAAAATCAAAGTACAAATCAAAGTAAGGGCTGCCCTTTCAGCATTCCCACATGCCTCTCACCACTTCTCTTCCAAGTGGCTCTACATGTCTCAAATCCATGTATTTCCTTCCATGTCTCCCAGGTCACTGGTGCAATTCCAAAGCTGAGAAGCAAGCAAATCCTCCTTAAAATGTCTCTCTGCTTCATGTGTCTCCTTCAAGACTCTTCCCAAGTCTTCCCTCCAAATCTCTGTTTCAGTTTTTCTGGCTTCCCCTCAGTAGCTCAGCTCCACCCTTCATAAGCTGGGGCAGGGAATAGGGAACCTCCCTTTTCTATGCAGATTTCTGTCTGTAACTATTATGATTTCAAGATGCCCTTCAGCAATAGCCATCAGGAAACCATTAAACAATACACTAATCTTAAAAAAAAAAAAATACACTAATCTTGCTTGCAAGACCTAGAAATTACTCAACACCTCTAGGGCTACAAATTGAAGTTGTGGAGAGGGGGAGGGGGTCCTGCTTTTACTGGGGTTGAAAATGTGGGGAGGCTAATTTGGAGCACTTGCTATTTATCAGTAATTTTAAAATATAAGAGTGGGAATTTAGATCTCAGGAAGAAAAAGAATGAAACTAAAGGAAAACAAACAAACACAGAGGCTCCCAAAAGATCAGTTCATATAAATCAATCATGAATGGTAAAACAATGGACACACAATGGCAGGGATTTATTTGAGCTGGCTGTCTTTGGAGTGGATGTCTCATCATCAAACCAAAGGCACTTGAAATACAAAAAGAAAAGTCAAGGTCAGAGTTTATACAAGTATATATTTAAAACATGAAACAACATATTCAAAACATGCACTTTCAGCAGGCTGTCTTGCATTACTGGCTGAATAGTTTGAAGACATATAAAATACCTCTAAAATTTTTATTTATAATTGCAAAATATTGATATATTGTTCATTGACTAATTAAATATTCATAACTTTCACTCCCTGTCCAAATCCCTTCTGCATTCAATGTACTTTATGGAACCATATTATATATATTCACAACCATAAAACTTAGATATTCTTATGTTACATAAAATTGAATTCACTGGCCATCTTTCACATAATGTACAAAGAATAAGGATATCCTTACTTATGTATTTCTTACTGTGGAACCAAGCATAAGTATTCTTAGCCATTGCTTTGTCATTTTGTGTGTAACTGCCATTTTAGAATTTTAGGTTTTGATGTCCAGGAAAGACGACTGCATTCCAGAGATAGTTTGGACAGTTTCGACCCTCACTCTGCCCTCGCCCTCTGGTCACCAATGAGTGTGAACTTGCTGTAATTGGAGTTACAGGCAGGAGTTGCATCTCGGCCAGGCCAGTCAGCTTAGAATGATAGCCGGGCAAAGTTGGAGAACACATCCTTGTAGCCAATGAGTAACTGCCAGCATAATTTAACCTTATTAAAAAACCCCTGCTTCCTTTGTTCGGGGCTCTCAATACCTGCTGCTACATTGGGAGGTGTCGTGAGCCTGGACTCAAGTCTGCAATAAACTCCCTTTTGTGTTTCCCTTGTTAGGGGGAAGTGATGTCCTGAGTTAATCCCATACAGGATTAACTTTGTGGACTCCACCCCCACTCCAGACTAAAGCCATCAAGACTCTGGGAAAGACAAATCCCATCACCACCAAGGGAGGGTGGCTGGGACCTGAGGGTGGAGTTGGGCAGCCAGGTTGGATATAAAAAACCAAACACGTGGGCCTTGGGCTCTCTCTCTGGCTTGCGATCGCTCGCCTCCTGGCTTCACCGCTCCTGGCTGGCGGCCAGCTCTCAGAGCGCCATTTTGGGATTCCTAATCGGCGGATCGGGTAGGACTCATTTAAAACTTTGTCTCCCACTTTTCTCCCAGAGCTGTACATTTCCTCATTTCCCCTTCCCTTTGTAAATAAACCTTTTATTAACCTTTCGCGTGTGCCTGCAGTAGAGCATTGATAAGTCCTTTTAAGCGCGCGGGTGAGGACCCACAGTCAGGCACCCCGTTTTGTATCGGGGTTGCTCTACAACACCCTCAGCTGTCTTTGGGTTCTTGGAGGCTATGCTTGCCAAGTCTGCTGATCTGGGGCACAACTTGATTTTTAGTTTGTTTTTTTGTTTGCTTTTTTTTAACTTTTTTTTAATAGAGGCATATTTTATTTATTTGTTTGTTTGTTTGTTTATACATGGACTGGGTATACACAGAAGCGCGGGAGGGTGAGAGAATTCACCAGAGCCAGAGCGGGGAGCAGAGCAGGCAGAAGGACCGAAGCACACTGCTGAGGGGAGCAGCGGGCGGCAGGAGAGGTCTGCGCACCATATGGGACCCTCCTCTAGTGTCCGTGGAGCAGTCGGGGATCGAACTGGCGCCGCAGAGGCCACGGGCAGCTTCGCAACCCAGCTCTCAACTGCTGCTCCACAAGGGAGGCCCTCAGTTTGTTTTTTTAAACAAATAATGAGAGCTTAAAATAAGAAGTGAGACACATCTGTTTTCAAATAATATGTATTCTGTCCTTTCCTTGTAAGCTGTGTGACCATTTCACTTTAGATTACGAAATCTTGTTAAACTGCCTCGATTTCCTACTTTTCATCATTCACCTAAGTCTAGTATAATATGTAAATATAAAAGGGGGAATGAGTTAGAGGTAAGGATAGAAACAGAAAGGCAGAGAGAAATCACAGCTGTATAACTATGATATATATGTGTAAATATATACAAAGTTGAGTCAGAGAGGCTACATAAGACAATAGTGCTGAAAAACAAAAAAAACAGGCATAGCTCTGGCAATGTGTCATGAGGTGGATCCAGCTTTCCCTACTGAGAGTTGCTCCCCTAGACCTCAGATGCCAGTTCCACACTGGAGCCTCGGGTCAGGTTTAGAACCTCAGGTCACATTTTGTCAATGACATTTTTTTTCTTTTTGTTTCTTTTCCCTTAAACAATCTTGTCTCTCTGCCTGCCCCACCCACCCACCTCCTCCCCCAAGTTATCAGATCTGTAGCAGATTGCAAGCATTGGTGTTAAGGCTTGTTTCTGCCTGACCCTTGGTTTGGTTTCTCTTTATTTCACATAGAAGTGACGCCATCTGTTATCGACCTTTCTCCTTCGTGTTTATTTCACTTAGCACCATCCCTTCCAGCTCCATCCACATTGCAGCAAAGGGTAAGATTTCATTTCTTTGATCTCCCAGTGGTACTCCATGTGAGTGTCTGCCACATCTTCTTGAGCCTTTGTTTCGGGGCAGGTAGTTTGTTTCCATAGCTTGTCTATTGTAAACAGTGTTGCAATAAATATAGGAATGCACATTTCATTTTGAAACGTTATTATTTTTTTTGGGGGGGGAACCCTAGGAGTAGAACTGCTGGGTTAGAACAGATCCACGTTTAATCCTCTGAGAAAACGCCATAATATTTTCCATACATCCTACACTGTCAGTGGTAATGTAGACTGGTCATATTGATTTTTAAATCCCTAGCTCTATATGGTACAAAATATGTTTTCAAAATATTTTGTAGGCTTAGTATATCAGAGACGACTTTCAGTGAATATTTTATCAAATAATTATCATTTAAGCCAAAATGTGCTGCCTTGCTTGTAGAACTGGTGCCAGCAACCCAGAGGTACTGCTTTTCTTGTTTGTGAGATCAGGAGAACTTTGTGCCTAGTTCTTGTTGGTCCATTATTTACACTTAAGTTATTTAAAATGGCTTCTGTCACAGAGTCAGAAATCATTTTCTCAGCAAAGGACTAGACAGTTGCCTACACAGAATTATATTTAGGGCACCAGTGACAGTAGGAAAAACTCAGAGATTATTTTGTTATTTGTCTGATGTCTTAATCTGTACCTTAGGCTCATCCCTTTCTCCCTCCTCATACACTAAAGAAAGCTATTCTCTATTAACAGATTCCTTTGGGAACTAATTTAGATTATCCAGTTTTCTGCAATACATTGTCATCTGTGCTGCAGATTTAATGTGGAGCGGGATTTAGATTACATGGTCTGAAGAGATAGCCATGTTGATTAGGAGATTGTTTGGATGCTGCTTAGCAGAGTGATGCTGGGTGCTTGGTATCCCCAGAGAGAGGGCTTCTCTTGAGGGAAAATAAGCATGGAGAGGAATCAAAAGGGACAAAGGAGGAGTCTGTCCTTCCAAACATGGACCGGATGAAGAGAATGATAGTAAATCTCATAGGTAACACACATATATATAATTTTCTGGGTGGAATTTTGTATTGGAAATTACTTAGATGGGTTGAGATTTGCTCTTACATATCTCTCCTGGGATCACCAAATAATAATAACATATTAAGAAAAGACACTAATACTTGTAACTAAAATTACTTTTCTCAAATAAATATATATTAATTTGTTAAATTGATATGACGACTACTCATGCTTTCTAGAAAGTAGAAGAACAGCCCATAACAATGAAGACAAACAAGTTAATGGAAAACATGGTAATCTGACATTTCTGTTTACTCCAATGGAAGTTACAGAAGAAGCAATTCCTGAGGCACTGGATATATAAACTGGCTCATGTCTTGCACATGTTATTATTAGTGTTGTTGCTTACAAAGATTTTGCATTTCTAAATTTTGTCACAATTAAACTTACTACATTGCAACTCAAGATATACAGCTATTATGCACAATTATTATACATTTTCTTGGGATATTTTAATGAGCAGGAGGCAGTTTAAGAGCTCATAGCAACCTCTGCTTGTGAGCATACAACTGATTTACACACATGACAAAATATTACTTGACATATGGTCAGTACAGACATTATAACCCAAAGCCTTTAGGTATCACATGGTTAGTGGACACATATATCTCTATGTTGTGCTTGCTTCCTGAAATTCTGCACTGCAGTCACTCTCTTCATCACTGTCTCTTCACATCATCAATAAAGCTCAAGAACATAGTTGAGATCATAAAACAGGTTGCCTCCCAAGGTGACTGTCCTTACCATATATTGCCCTCTGCAACCAATCACAATGGGGTCCTACCTTGATGTAGAAATTTGACTTGAAATGCTTTTTGTATGCCTCAGAAATCTAAGAGTCTATGGATCATGACTTTGTAAATTTTCACAAAATTTTGCAAATGTCACTTTAACATAAACACATGACAACAGTCTAAGAGATTAAGTTGTCTTTTAAGATACATTTGTTTTCTGTCATTGTATCTAGGTATATTTTGTGAACAATTTCTATGAATTCAGTGACATATCTCTATGAAACACTGGAAGTTCATCCCTGTAGTTTTCAGTGTCATAAAATGAGGCTGTATGACACATATCTGGATATGGGTAATATATTAAATGAATAATAATAATATCTACTGGTAATGACGTAAAATATTTGACTATGTTAAGTTAAAGTTGTTTTATTTTAAATGAATATCTATTTGCTCTTAAGTAACTTTAACTTTGTTTTAAAGAAACACCCAGATGTGATAAACTATGTATCTGTAATTTTACTCATAACAGGAATTTTATCATATAAAGAGCTGGGTAGAGAGAGTGTTTATGAGCAGAAGTAAGTTTGGGCAAATTAATAGAAAGGAATTAGTCGCCTTGATTAGAGAATGTATATAGTATGGTTATTCTGACATCATTTTTAAAAATTTAAACTCCAGTAAATATACAACAAAATCTACGTATCCCTGCACAGTGAGTTCATGGTACTTTTTTTCATTCTTTTTGTAATTTTCCTTAATTTTGAGAAAGTCTTCAATGGAAAACAATTTGTGTGGGACTGTGGATATGTGGAAACATTAATGGGTGTGTGTTTATTTTGCAAATTATGGAATTAAAGCAAAATATCCATACCAATATTGAGGAAGTGGAAATAAGGAATGCTTGTTTATTGGAGTAAATTACTATTGTTAAATACATAAACTGTTGTACAGTAAGGCAAAGGAAAAAATACAATATTTAAAAAGTTCTGTATTTTTTTCTCATCACCAACCTATAGTGCATATCATCATAAACCCCATTATACCCGTCTGTACTCCTGAGAGGCCAAATGTTGAATACCCAGGGACCACACTCAGGATGCTTATATACATCAATCAGGAGACAACACAGAACCACCGGGCAGACAGAACTGTGTGCACAAGGAAGTCATCAATTTTGGGTCAGGTATTATTAAATATTTGTTGCGTCCTCATTTATATTATAATTTGTTTTAGAGGGTTTTTTTTTTTTTAGTTTTTTAAATCTATTCATGCATACAAGAACTGGGGTGTAGGCCAGAGGTGCCGGGGGGCTGAGAGAATTCACCAAAGACAGAGTGGGGAGCAAAACAGGCAGACCTACTGAAATACACTGTTGAGGGGAGCAGCAGGCAAGACAGGAGAGGTCTGCTATGGCATGTGATTTAGCTCCCTGGCCAGGGATTGAACTGGTGCCACAGTGGCCGGTGATAGCTTGCTAGAGCTGAGACTTAACCCCTGTGCCACCAGGGAGGCCCCTGTTTTAAAGTTTTAATCCATTTTTGCCTGATAGATTGTTATTAAAGTAAAGGAGAGTGTAAAGTATTGATATTATACCATTTTAATGACATTTAACAATCCATCTCAAAATGTTTTGTATATTATATGTATACAAAAATGGTATGGAATAAAGCACAAATTGTGGAGGTGGTTAGGCAATAATGTTTTATATTTTTAAAAAAATCTCTCAGAGATAAATTGTTCAAAGATTTGTACACAGAAAACAACCATTTAAATAAATTGAAGCAAAGAGTTTGGCTGCACACTGATTTTTAGGTCACTATTCTGATATTCTTTTCTTCATCTACCATGAAAACCACTTTTCAGATTTTCTCACAGATCAGAGGAAGCTATGTCTGATATTTTATATGCATATCATAGTTGGTTTGAATAAAGTTGAACACATCCAATTGGCCTCCCAAGGACCACCTAGGTTTTTTAACCAAAATATGAAAGATTTCAATGTTATTCAAGTGAAGTAGGGATCAAAGAAAAGCATAAAACAAAATTAAAACCATAGGGAATTGGGATTAGGGAACAGTTCAGCCATGACTCTCTCTGAGACCTGACTCTGACACATGAGTACTCTGTCAAGTTTGGTACAAGTCTGTTTTTTGAGTAAACCATTCTGTCTTTCTTACCTCTCTCTGTCACTTGTGTTACCAGAATCCTTATGATGATTAGGTCTCAAAAGTTCCTACTAATTCCCACTGGGTAACATCAGCATTCAGAGGGGTATTTAGTTAACATGTTGCTGCCTATCCATTCCACACTCATAGAGACCCTTCCACTGCTTTCTGTACCAACCACTCCTCCCTGCCATAGTAAGTCCTAATGCAAACACTGTTGCTCAAACTTGCTTGTCAAGGCTGCAAAGAACCTCATAAGAATTGAGCAGCTAATTTAAAATTGGGGAATGCTACATTGTTGGATGATGAGGGAATGCAAAGGACTTTATCCATAATCAGCACCTCTTATTTAAATTTCATTTCCTATTACGGATCATGACATTAAAGTATTGCATCACTACAAGATTAAATGCCTGAATGTTGGTTAGCTAGACAAATTAATTGTCGATAACCATTGCCTCAAACATCTATGATATAGAAGTTAACAAGAATATATCATGTATGTTACATAGCTACTTTTGGAAATAGCCAGATTTAATTTTTTTTTTTTTAAGTCAACAAGGCATGTTTTATTTATTTATTTGTTTGTTTGTTTGTTTTGTTTATACATGCACTGGGTACAGTCAGAAACGTGGGAACTTGAGAGAATTCACCAGAGACAGAGCGGGGAGCAGAACAGGCAGAAGGACTGAAGTACACTGCTGAGGGGAGCAGTGGGCGGCAGGAGAGGTCTGCGCGCCATGGGGGACCCTCCTCCAGCAGCCAGGGAGCAGCTGGGATCGAACCATCGTGCAAAGGCCGCGGGCAGCTTCGCAACCCAGCGCTCAACCACTGCGCCACCAGGGAGGCCCCACCAGATTTAATTTGAATTAAAGTGTGCTATAATCTCTGTATAATGCTATAAAATAAAAGTGATAATACCAATACCAGTACTGATTTATATGATTAGATACATTTCCACTAGATTCAGTTTTCAGGTGCTACTAACCTTGCTAATCTCTTTTTCTAATTCTGAAAAATAAGGCCACCCCTGGGGGCACAGTTGTTGAACTCTGGGCTGTGAAGCTGCACGCAGCCTCTGCAGCGCCTGTTCGATCCACAGTGTGGGTCCCACATGGCACGACAAAACTCTCCTGCTGCTCCCGCTGTGCTCCTCAGCAGTGTGTTTTGTCCATCTGCTGTTCTGTACCCTGCTCTGGCTCTGGTGAATTCTCTCACCCTTCTATGCTTCTGACTGTACACAGTGGTTGTATAAGTAAATAAAAATCTTTAAAAAAATAGAACCAGAAATTTATCTAATAGGATGTAAGAGGACATAAACTCCCACTTGCATTTCCCTTTGTCACAACCAGGGATTTCCAGGCCTGACGGATGGCTCCTGAGAACTGCACTGTGTTTACTGAGTTCATCTTCGTAGGACTTTCTAGAAGATGGGATGTGCAACAGGGGCTCTTTGTGTTCTTTCTGCTGGTTTATGGCATCACTGTGATCGCCAACCTGGGAATGATCCTGCTGATCAAGGTGGACTCCAGACTCCACACGCCCATGTATTACTTCCTGAGCAATCTGTCTTTCTGTGATATCTGCTACTCCTCCTCTGTCTCTCCCAAGATGCTGGCTGATTTCTTATCTGAGCAAAAGAGGATCCCATATAATTTCTGTGCCATGCAGATGTATTTTTGGGGCACCTTTGCAGATGTGGAGTGCCTCATGCTGGCTGTCATGGCTTATGACCGGTATGTAGCCATTTGCAACCCACTCCTGTACACAGTTGCCATGTCCAGGAGACTCTGCACCCAGTTAGTGGCTATCACTTACGTAGCCGGGATGGTGGATTCTGCAATCCATACCTGCTTCACATTTCGATTGTCATTTTGCAATTCCAATATCATCAATCACTTCTTCTGTGACATCCCACCCTTGTTGGCCATCTCCACCTCGGATACATCCATCAATGAGATACTGTTGTTTACTCTTGGTAGCTTTATTCTGGGGTGCAGCATTATTACCGTCCTCCTTTCCTACAGCTACATCATTGTTACCATCATGAAAATGAGCTCAGCGGAGGGGAGACGCAAAGCCTTCTCTACGTGTGCCTCACATTTGGTGTCTGTGGCTGTATTTCATGGCACACTGCTGTACATGTACTTTCGACCCAGCTCGAGTTATTCCATGGACACGGACAAAATTACCTCTGTCTTCTACACAGTTGTCATCCCTATGTTAAACCCACTCATCTACAGCTTAAGGAATAAGGATGTGAAGGGTGCCCTGAAAAAAGCAATCAGAACTAAAGTGTGTCCTGGGTAAAGCCATGACATCTTGTCCAGAATTATTTATTTAAATATTCTGAAAGCTAAAGTATAATTCTTTTGGCATATCTTCCAGCCAAATCACTGATACAACTTTCTAGATATTTTCCATACTTCTCATATGTCTACCATGATTTTATACTATCATGTGCATAGGTAACAGTCATTATTGAAATCAGTCCTCTCTCAAAACTAAGAAGGGTCATAGCAGATTTTCTGTTTCTTGCAGAGAGGATCTTTTTTAGTTCCCTCTGTCTTCCTGGATATGTCCCAGCAAGATATCAAGGGTGAGTATTTCTTAGTCCAGTGTCAATGAAATGTAACCTCCATAATCTTCCATTTTATTTTTAGGAAAAAAAAATGGTTTTAATCAACTTACTAAGAAGAAGGTAGTACAGTTATACAAATTAAGGTTGCATGTATTTCCCTATGCCCTAATAGCACCTTGTAAATGCTCCATCACATCCTTAAAAATATGATATTGAATAAATAAAATAAATAAGATGTCTCCTTCTTTAACTCAAAGTTCCATAAATGCAAGGCCCAAGTTATCTTCTTTATCAATATTTCTATTTTTTTTTTTAATTTACATTGCTTGGCTCTAGAATGCCATTCAAAATATTTATTGAATAAAAGATTGCATGCCCCCTGAAGAATCGATGCAAAGACAATTTTTGTAAATAAATATAGATCCCTTGATTTGATTTTGTTTGATTCTAGTATGCTAGTCTTAGATGAAATCCATTTGTGCTTTTGTGTTTTGACCCGTGCTAATAAACATGAGGGAGGGAGATCATTTGACATTAAAAACTTTTCATTATTTCTCATCATTCTGTCCCACTTATATCAGCGGAAACTTTGTTCATCATTCTGTCAATTTACCTACTTGCCTTTGATCGAGGTTAAGAGTAGAAAAATTGGAAAGGAAGCACCATGAGATCAGAAACCCAGTTCAGGCACTGTGGAGACCTGGAGGTGGGGGTAGAAGTGATTAACATAATCCTTAATCCAGCTATAGAACTGAAAACTCCTTAGGCACCAAAGTCTAAATCATGAGGCACAGACCCAAGCAGGTGTCAGACTGCTGTAGAGAGTGTCATGGGGTGCAGACTAGGAGGTGGGGATATGGAGATAGAGGGGCATTGTAGAATCTCCAGTCCTTTTCAAAGTCTACATGGTTATTCAAAATCAACAAAAATTAACCACTTCACAAAGGAATGAGCCCCTCCCTAGAAGTCAGGACAATTTCCACACTGGCAAGGGGCAGTGGCCTTCTGCCTGCTTGTGCCTATGCAGGAGCTCCTTACCACTAACTCTCCATCCTCAGGGCAGCAGTCTCCTGCCCACCTGTGACCTGTGAACAAGCAGGTGCTTCTCTTCACTGACCTCCCTCAGAATAGGCACCTTCTTCCAAGAGAGCATGCCTATGATTATTCAGCCTCTCTTTTAGCAAACCTGTGCCTTTCTGGGTAGTTCTTTCTGCCCACTTGTGCTTGTGCAAACATTCTTTATCCCTTCCCTCTCTTTAATAATGAACCTGCACGTTTGGCTATAACTAACTCCTCTGCTGGTTGAGAAATTTGCCGGAGAAACTCCCAGTGCTGGTGAAACTTTTCTCAGTTAACCCAAGGACCCCACTGTCTGAAACCAACATATCCCACAAATGTCTTCACCTTCACCACAGAAAAAAGATATGGTGCCATTGAAAACTGTACTGAAATTGCATGACTGGGCATTGGGGGAAGCACCTAGATCTTTACTAAAGACAACTGGGAAAGAGAATTTCTTTTCCTTTGAGGTGTCCATGACATTATACATATTAAAATTAAAATTTTAAAAATAAGAAATCCCTAATGCATATAGTTGAATTTGTAAAGGTAGAATTATTAGCAAAATTATACATTCAGTGGAATAAGCATAGAACAAAGTAATATTTGCATTAGTGCCCATTTGTAATGTTTTATTTGGGCTCTGTATATCTAAGAACCTTATTCCAAAGAAAATTTTAATAGTGGTCATCACTGAGTATCTGGATTTAGGTAATTTAAAATGTATGCTAATAACATAATTAATTAATGAATATGCTGTCCTTCACTTTAATCAATGGACTATGAATCCAGTTATGAAAAACAAACTTATTTTCTTAGGGGTACTGATTTCGCTTATTTTATTTTTAAGAAGGGAACATGGAGTCTTCTGGTTCCAAAAAAGTTATGGGTTTTACAAGATTTCTCATTAAGGTCTTCATTCAGAAGCTATATATCTCATTAGTGTATAAAGAGCAGGTTCTGCTGTTTTAGCCCAATGTTGGCCATCAGAGTCAATGTTGTGACTGCATCAGTTCTTGGTGTTCTCACTATGTTAATGTGCAGGCTTGGGGACACCTCAAGAGCCCCAAATTTGCATGCTCTATCTGCCACCCCCACAAAAAAAAAAAAAAAAAAAAAAAAACAGCATACTCTGAGTGAGAAAGAAGTTTAATAGGATTAATGTGCCTAATGTGCCTAGAAAGATAATAAAATATAATAGTTTTCCAATAAAACACCCAAATTTACTCATTCCTTTATGGGTAAATGATGAACCAAACAGGGTTGCCACAAAATAGAGACCTTGCGATGTGAGAACTTGCCACAAATCTAAGGTACTTTCTAGCGGGGAACCATAAGGAAGGGATAGAGGGACCAGGCAAGTCTGCAACCAAAGGAGAAAAATCAAAGTACAAATCAAAGTAAGGGCTGCCCTTTCAACCTCCCCACATGACTCTCACCCATTTCTCTTCCATGTGGCTCTACATGTCTCAAATCCATGTATTTCCTTCCATGTCTCCCAGGTCACTGGTTTAATTCCAAAGCTGAGAAGCAAGCAAATCCTCCCTCACATGTCTCTGTGCCTCATGTATCTCCTTCAAAACTCTTCCCAAGTCTTCCCTCCAACTCTGTTTTTCTGGCTTCCCCTCAGTAGCTCAGCTCCACCCTTCATTAGCTGGGGCAGGGAATAGGGAACCTCCCTTTTCTATGCAGATTTCTGTCTGTAACTATTATGATTTCAAGATGCCCTTCAGCAATAGCCATCAGGAAACCATTAAACAATACACTAATCTTGCTTGCAAGACCTAGAAATTACTCAACACCTCTAGGGCTACAAATTGAAGTTGTGGAGAGGGGGAGGGGGTCCTGCTTTTATTGGGGTTGAAAATGTGGGGAGGTTAATTTTGAACACTTGCTCTTTATCAGTAATTTTAAAATATAAGAGTGGGAATTTAGATCTCAGGAAGAAAAAGAATGAAACTAAAGGAAAACAAACAAACACAGAGGCTCCCAAAAGATTAGTTCATATAAATCAATCATGAATGGTAAAACAATGGACACACAATGGCAGGGATTTATTTGAGCTGGCTGTCTTTGGAGTGGATGTCTCATCATCAAACCAAAGGCACTTGAAATACAAAAAGAAAAGTCAAGGTCAGAGTTTATACAAGTATATATTTAAAACATGAAACAACATATTCAAAACATGCACTTTCAGCAGGCTGTCCTGCATTACTGGCTGAATAGTTTGAAGACATATAAAATACCTCTAAAATTTTTATTTATAATTGCAAAATATTGATATATTGTTCATTGACTAATTTAAATATTCATAACTTTCACTCCCTGAACAAATCCCTTCTACATTCATGTACTTTATGGAACCATATTATATATATTCACAACCATAAAACTTAGATATTCTTATGTTACATAAAATTGAATTCACTGGCCATCTTTCACATAATGTACAAAAAATAAGGATATCCTTACTTATGTATTTCTTACTGTGGAACTGTTATAGGACAGGGAGAGGGGCAGCCCAAACCCCGCAAACCTGCCTATTCTAAATGGGTTCTGCCATCCGCCGCATCAACACAAAACATATGAGACTTTAATGGGAAGGAACTTTAATAAAACTAGGAAACAATACAGGAAAGGCAAATAATCTAGTTTCTAAATCAAGCACCCAAAGTTACCCGTCCCCTCGTGGGTAAAAGTCCATCCAAATGGGATTGGCCCAGAGCAAGGCCCCAAGGCCTGCCACAAGTCTAAAGCATCTTCCAGTGGGGACCCACAGAAAAGGGTCACAAACAACCGGACAAGCCCGGAAGGAAAAGAGCAAAATCAACATCAAGATAAAAGCTGCCATTGTCACCTCCCCATGGGTCTCACCCACATCTGTGTCACCCAGTCCACGACCAAAAGACAAGCGCAGTTTCTTCACGTGTCTCTAGGCTCCACGTGCCTCCTCCAGGTCTCTTGGCTCCATCCTGCTTCCTTCCTCAGTCTCTTCTTCAGCTTCTCCTCTTCCTGCTCAGCTCCACCCTCCCTTGGGTGGGGCAGGGAACCTCCCCCTTTCCTGGGGACCACCCTGTTACAATCCCCCCCTTTTAATTTTTATTCCACCATATCTATGGTGGCACAGATCTCATGGTGCAATCTTAGGAGACAGTCTTTTTTCAGGGTTACAATGTGTGTAAGAGAAGCAACAATTAGTCAGCAGCATTGTCCATGAATGTCCAGTATGACAGTTTCATTACTTAAAAATAGTCCATTATCCAAGCCAAAAGAAAAAAAGTTGGAGCATTGGCTAAAACAAGATAGCAAATATATCAAAATCACAGGGAAAAAAATGTTAAAATGGTTCAACTTATGCAAAAACGAATTCTCTCAACCTTGATCCCAAACTTTAACAGCATAGCAAAAGTTTGCAAATTAAATCTATTTTTAAACCATTTTTCCTATTTTTGCATAAAATCACAGGGCAGAATAACTAAGCAGCAATTTTTAGCTGGCTTCGTTGGAATACTCCATATAGGATCAGAACGAACCATTGGCATCATTCAGGTACAAAGTTGGTCTCATCAGACTCCACCTGGGCTTTCCTCTTCTCGAGGGAACCAGGGCATTTTCGTTGGCCGGGTTGTCCAGTCCTGCCAATGGAGGCAAGCTTCCTCACCTTCTTTGGAGGTATCTGGAACCCTACAAACAA